CCCCCCCCCCCCATCCCAGAATGTGCCTGGACTGTAATCATGCTGTGAAAAAGAAGGAAATTGGTAATTACCCCAAGAACATATTTCATTCTAGTTGAATAATTAGGTAAGATTGGTTGGGTTTTTTTTATTATTGTTTTTGGTAAAGAAAAAGGTTCCTTTTTTTTTTACCTTTAGTAATAATTTGGTTTTATGGAAACTCCCAAATTAGGGAAACAGTTCAAAAGAGTGATTTACATCTTCCTGAGCAATTATTTTTCCACTTTATCAACCAGATTTTCTAAAAATCTGATATGAAAGTAAGTCTCTAGTGTACCATGACTTGTTCCAGGAAGTGAGTTAGTTTAAACAAACAAAACCCCTACACACATCAAAACACCACCATCACACATGCACAAATTTTAAGGCATTTTGGTACATGTTGGCTGTTACCAGAATTATCCCAGAAAGTAGCCAGTCTGCCTGGTAGTCTGTGGGCTCAAACAGGTACATTTGCACAGAACCTTAGGCCTGGCAGTTTAGGAGAGCTGTGTGGGTTGGGGGTGAGGGGTGATGTGGGATCTTAGATCTGCCACAGAAAGAACACTTGTCCCCTGAACAGGGAGCCTCCACCTTGACAATGCTCAGTTCTGAAAACACAGATTCCCTCTGCTCCATTCACACTGACCTTTTACTTCCCCTGAAATGCTCTGCCGCGCAGGCCCTTTGCATATGCTATTCCCTCTGGTGGGCACTTATCCCCTCCCTCAGCCTTTTCTGAGGTTGTCTCCTTTTCAGCCTTCAGGCCATGACTTAAATGTCAGAGGTCTTCCCTGACCATCAGATCCACATATGTCCTCACTTGATCCTCATCACATAACTCCTTCATTCTTTCTCTGCATGTTCTAATTTATAACTATATAATAATTATTTAATTGCCCACTTATTCATCCATGAGGCAGGGAGTAAGTATGCTTTTATTCACCATTGCGTATGTAACACCTGGCAGAGTGCTTGGCACCTAGTAAGCACTTAATATTTATAGAATCAAAGCAAAAGAAAATAAAAACTGTCTATGTTATCACCTAAGATAAGATAACTACTATTAAAACTCTGCAGTATATCCTTCCAGGTTAAAATACACACACACACATGCATAGGACCATATGGTATGCACTTCTGCAATCTGTTTTTCACTCAATCATATGTCACTGGCATATTTCCATAACAATAAATATTTTCCTATATTCTACAACATGACTTAAATGTATGGCTGAGCTATCATTTATTCAACCAATCACTTATGGTTGGACACATAGAGTTTCCAAATTCTGCAATTATAAGTCACATTGTAATGAAATCTTCATAGCTGAACACTCGGTATTGATAACGAAACAGTCTTTAATTATTAGGATGAAGGTTTTCCATGTAGAACTTCTGTATCGAAAGTGATTTTTAGGGCTTTGCCCACGTCCTGCCAGACTGTCCCAGGCAGTGGCTTACGTGTCTTTGAATCTCCAGTGCCTTGCACATGTTTGACACATAAACCATGTTTGTGCCATCAATTTACATCTCAACCTGGATATTCAAGGTTCTCTTCAACCTGAACCAAGCCTGCTTTTCTGGTATTATTTCTGCTTGCAAACTGGATAGCCTCATGCAACGAACTTCCCTTTACTGGGGTTTGCCTCTTTGCAAAATGAGAGTTATAATAAATGCCTTCCCAGCCCTGATGAAAGCTGCTAAGGTGTGCACAGTTCTCAGAGGAGAGCCTGGCCCCTGATAAGGGCCTTGTGTACCTCAGCTGCTGTTACCACCCACCGGTCCCCATCTGGTCTTCATAGTTGACTTTGCTAAGCCCTTCCCCTGCTGTCTCTCCCAGGTGTTAGGCCTGGCTGAGCATCCTTGCTCCTCCCTGCCCACGCCCAGGCTTCCCACTCAGCACCCCAGTGACCTCTGGCTTTCTCAGGTGCTTGGCCTATTCTCACTTTGGCTATTTTTTTTTTTCCTCCCCTGAGTTGTAAGCCACTGTGAGAACAAATCCTGTGGCTCAGACTTTGATGCACCAGAGCTCTACAGATAGAAGGTTCCCCTGACCGATGAGGAGAGTGCCTGGTACGAGTCACCCAGACATCCTGTGGCCCACACCGCCCTCTTTCATCCAACATCTGACTTCGCCTCATTTTTACCAAGTTTGACTTAAGACCAGATTATATTGTTGGGAGCTCCTGAGCCTTTCATGCTGTTTATATCAGATGTGGTCCAAGGAGAGGATCAGAGATGGTCCCATGGCCACAGGGCTGAGGACTGGCTTTCTCTTCCACCCTCTCCCAGTGATCTCAACCAGAAAAACTGGACATCAACTATGTGCGCCATTTTAGTTAGGGCTGCCAGATTTAGCAAATTAAAATAGAGGACATGCATTTAACTTTGAATTTCATATGAACAATGAATAATTTTTTAGTATAATAATGTCCCACGCAGTAGCTGGAGCACACTTACCCTAGGAACAGATCTGCTGTTTATATGAATTCAAACTGAACTGGGCAGCTGGCATTTAATGGGGCAGCTCCAGTTGTGATGGCTGCTGTGAATTGCCCACCCAACCTTCCTTCCTCTTTACCTCTAACATGCTTTCTTATGCTACAGAAATAGAAAGCTAACATCTTCATTTCCCAGAGTGCTTTGTGTCTAGGAGTGAGGTGAGTTCCACCACTGATGTTTGTGCCCTGGGAGGCAGAGGCGTTTTTGGCTGTGATTGCTGACAAGCAGTTACGGAGGCAGGGACTTTATTGCAGTC